CAGTATCTATTGTTGTCGTGTCCTCATTAGTATTTTTTATATAAAGAATACTAATAAGGCGGTATATCTATTGAATTTGTATAGTCGTGTTTGAAGCCGTTTAATAAACTCGCAGGTCGTGTTTTATTAGGTCTAAAGCCACTCTTAAACCTAATAAAACACTCCTGCTCGTTTATTAAACACTACATAAAAGTCTGGTACCAAATATTATAATTTACAAACATTGTCTAGGAGCAAGTGGCAAGCATGCAATCACACTGTATAACGTAATTGTCATGTGAACTAATGACTATTAAATAGTTTAGCAATATACTAAGCAGTATGATTCTGTACAATACATACGCATTTTATACAATCTGTTTTGTTCTGTGATTCCTTACTGATAAAATATTTTAAACAATCAGAATTGATAGTTATAACTGCATGGGCGTACCGGAAAGAAAAATTTAGGGGGGCGGAAAGAAAATTGCCCGACTTTTCGGGATTGTGCCCGACTAGTACTGAAAAAGTTTTTTTAATTGCAAACCAAAATTGCCCGACTGCCCAACAAACTGGGGGGGGGCTACCCGCTACCCCCCCCCCCCCCCCCCCCCCCCCGCCCGGTACGCCTATGTATAACTGTACATTAAACAATAACGCTAATCGACACGATGAATTGATTATCTTACAACTCGGGACTCTTTATTCATTTCATCAAGTGACCCATGTTCTGTGTGTATAACAGGTGATAAATATTTCACATCCCGTTTCATCCTACATGGGATCACACACACTACCCACGCACTCCTTTCAAGGCTTTATTAACAAAACAACAGTAGGTAGAGCACTGAGTAACTGCAATAAAATCGCAAAAAATTGAGCGGTAAAGACAGCGAAGTTTACTGTAAGGTAAGTTGATAGCTTAAAAATCCCTTCAGTCGAGAGTTATTTAGTAAAACAGTCTGTTGTTGGACACTGGAAAATACAGTCATGCAGTATTTAGCTTGTGTAATCTTAGACAGATTATAACGAATCAATACCGACGGAAAAGGTTTATAATAAGTGAATCCAATAGCCGATACACAAAACATATTGAATCAATTTAGTTCAGCAATATGCAAGTTTTGATGGTTTATGTTTATGTAAGTGTATAGCATTCAGAACCAACAATAAGATTTAAGGCAAAGCTAAACAGCTCATTGGGATATAATTTTTATGACATATAGAATGAAAGTAATTATTTTCAAGTTCGGTGATCATGGTTATGAACTAACTTATTAGCATAAAGGCCGGCAAACGAAGGCGAATCTTTATTGAACTTTGGCCCAAGTTATATATACACGATACCATACAGATTCGCTTTTTACGACATCAACATATTATTTCGTTCAGGAGTAATGTCTGCCACAAAATTGTTCCCCCTTCAACAGTTTTCATTTGATTTTGCCATATTATCGCAATTTTAAGTGTCAAGATATTCCTGAAACCGTCAAATTCGATGTCGTGACAAACGAATCCGGTATCGTGTAACTGAACAGAATGATACAGAGAATCGCTTGGAAATATCGCCCAGCGCTTATGAATTGTTACCGGGGACATTTTCAGCTCTAGATTAGTAACAAAATCAAGGTCTAATGAGTGTTGCAACTATGTTTCTATTTGATAGAATATACACTATAGAACAGATCAACATGGGTAGGTTTGAGGTCTATAGTTTAATCTGAAATATATACATATGAGGAAATACTATATTTAAAAGAAAAACAACTCCGGAATAAACAGTTGTAGACAAACTTTGTTTCCAAAAGTACTGCTAAAATATTTGAACCCAAATATTTGAACCAAAATGTTTGACTCAAGAGTCAAGACACTCAGTGAACACCTGTTTCAACCGCCTACCTTAATTCGGATGCGAAAGTCAAGTATTCGTTAATTACGTATCATTACATGTAAAGGAAAGCAACAATTTGCCATCCAATTTTCCAACCAAATTTTGATCGACTTGGCCTACGGCCATTTGCTGCGCAAATATTTGATAACTTTTGAGTTAACCTGATGATAGGCAAACACACACATACATTGCACATGCACACATAATCAGACTGGGGTGAAGATCAGAACTTTCTCTGTCACACTGTGACGAAAGACTGCAGATACCCTTCAAGTATAGCAGACGTGAATCTACCTCTATACGACTTGTATAGATCCATTGCGGTTGACCTCAAAATGAGGCGGAGGATAACTTGAAAAGATTCGCTACTCAGTAGTGAGCTCCAGTTCCGTTCATGATAAGCATATTTTTGCTATAGTATAGGTCAAAATATGCAATCAAAAGATCCTAAGGGGTCATCACAGGTTCGGGTGTTTTGCTATATCTTTGCAGGTGCAAAATCATGGCTGGTGGTATTAATGGTGGCGTGCAGTATCTAAAGTCCGCTCCCGGAGTTTTGAAAATTCTGGAAATTGTAAGCACTAATGTTTGATATTGCGACCAACCTGCGAACGGGCATACTCTGGGTACCTGCCTGCTAACGGGCATAGATACGAGATTGAGCTGAATTGGGCCAATATGCAAGCGTCTGTGTCGAAGGCTTGCTACGGGTCGTACAATGGCAGCCAGAGGCACCTTGCTTGATCACGGAGTACAGTTAAAGGAGCAGTGTCACCAATTTTTGACCAAAAATGTCTTTTTATTCGAAGTCTAACCTGCGAATTTGAAAATAGACATTATAAATAGGTTCAGTTATGATATGCGAATCATATTAAACAACTGTGAACTTCCACACAACATGTAAGACGACATTTTCATACAAATTGACCTAAACTTGAAAAAGTGTCTGCCAACAATTAATCAAGATGTCATTTACAATCCATCTCAATCCTCGCCTAATCTCAACCATCTAGACTTCTGTACATTTTTTTGTATTTGTTATTGTTTTATGTTGTGCTTACAGCCATTCTTTTTGGGTTTTGTGCAAGATTCCTAGAGATTTGCGAGGGTCAAAATCGGTGACACTGCCCCTTTAAGGTTTTGAGTGAGAGGGAAAAGCCGGAAGACCCGGTAAAAAACCTTCGAAGCACAAAAGAGAACCAACTCTTCAGGGGTGACCCCCCCCAAAAAAAAATCCATGTCAATTCAACACATCAAAGGCATATTTTATGTTCAATTTTTCCGTCTAGATACTTCAACTAGCCTGCGTTGGCTCCGTGGGGTATTTCTGGGACCACTGGGCTTGGAAAGACCTTGTGAAAAACGACTACATCAAGGTCTTCCTTTGGTCAACAGCAGCATCTGGAATAATAACACTGCTGTTCTTTCTCATATTTCTCATTGGTTTACATAAGAAAATCAAATTTCTTAACTGGGCAAAGATAGTATGTTCATAGTTATTATTCGCTCTACAACATTTAATATATTGGGAGTAATTAAAAGGCTACATGACTATACATGCATGGCTACCTGTCTATGTGGTTACCTGATTTTGTGGCTACGTGACTATATCTGATTTCGTAGGTACGTGGCTACTTACGGTGTTTCAGTATTAAAAAAACAAAAAATCACAATTGATCGGTTCCCTGACTCGCCCCCACCCGAGAGAGCTGCTCGAACCCTTTTGCTTAGAGAGGGGCTCCAACCCTTTTGCTTGTAGGCAGTAGCCAGTAGCCATGCATATATACTGAGTTCAATTTTGTGATCTGGTATATTCTAAAGTTGTACCCATTAAAAAGTGTTTCTTGCATCTTAGGCTGCTGCTATTTTCATTCTTTTGGCTAGCTTACTGTTTGTTGTCTCAGGGTTGTTGGCAAATACTCTAATATATTACAAAGACAAGGAACATTGCAACGCATTGGAACTTTCGGATGCAGACAGTCAGTGTAAACAGCTGACAGCAGGAATTGTAAGTTTCCTTCTTAATTTTTTTACATTTCTCTCCTTGTTGCGCTACCATTTTGCTTGTGCAATCTATGTTGATTAATAGAGGGTCTGAATGGGGTTAACTGACTACCGACATTTGCCTGAATTTTTTACTGACAACTGACAAAATATCCCAACTAACAACTGAGAAATGATGAAAAAATGATGAGTCAGCATTTTGCAGTTACTGACTACTGACAGCTTGCAATATATCACACTGACAACTGGCTTAAATTTTAGCTGACAACTGACACCCAAAGACCCCCATTAAGACCCTCTTAATAGACAAATTTGGCTAACGTTGTTTACATCGTAGCCTGCTCGCAGCCCCCCCCCCCCCGAAAGTTAGGGATTTCCGGTTCATGAATTCTATTTTAAAATGCATGAATGCCATCATTGTTCTCTAACTTCTCTTTTTCAAATAGGTGTGTGGTTTCTTCGCGGGAGCAATTCTTCTTGTAGATGGTATTGTTCATTTCAAATTGTGATATAGTGTCATAAATAGTAAAATATAAACCTATGGCTATATGGCATATATTACGTGTAATAATCACTGATAAAAATAATACACAAATTGTAGTTCTTTTCACCCTTTGAAGTCAGTACATGTACTAATAATTAGCGCTACAGTTTGATGACTCGACGAATCGTAAACGCAACACTGTCTGCTGACAATTTTCCACCCCCTCCCGAATTTTTCATCGGATTGCTACACTCTGAAAAAGATTTCGGCTCTCAGCGATGCCACTGGTCGTAGCGCGTATAAACGTACGTTTACCAGACCCATATTTGTTGTCAATATTTCACCGACTATGTCACTTGCTCACAAAAAAACTAAGAATAACATGCCACACGGGTCCATGCGATTGATGAGAATTCAACGAGATTTCTCCATTTCTCCAAGTTTCGAAAATATCGCCATGTTTGAAAGATAGATCTACCTATCAATGATTGGATCGACCGATCAATGATATTACATTTCTGGGTTTATCACACGCCGTGTTCCAACACATAAGTTTCGTGTAAAACAAACGCGTGAGAAAACCTTTAAATGTTGTACCTTTCCGCACGGTCTTTACTTAACTGATATCATAGTTGAATACGTTCTTGGGCATCCAGATGAAAACGTCTAAAATATATGAAAATAAGTAATGAAAGTTCTGCATTTACTCATTTTCTGGTTGTGTCAAAATATTTGTCCACCCATGGGTAAGAAGTAACCTTTCTCACAAAGGCCAAATTCGCCATTTTTGGGGTACTTTTTTGAAAACGACGTGAAAAGTCTAAGCTATGTGAAAACAATTTTTCAAATATTTAACTGTAAATTAACTTATAATGATTATACTCACAATTCCTTATTTACTGCGTTACAATCTCAGATTTGGGGAAGCCGGCAGTACCCCAAAAATGGCGGCGTGAGAAAGGCTATGAAAATATTTACAAATTTCTTCCTCCAATTGCTTTGACGTAGAGCACCCCGTGAGAAAGGCTAATTATAGTGCTGACACAAAATTACAGGTATAAATTCTGATGAGAACACCTTTCACATGTAATATTAAACAGAGATGTTGTCTATTTCGTGATAGTATAAATTTCCCATAACCTCGTACATTACAACTTGTGAAAAATGCTGCCTCAAGGCCCGTCTACACTTGCAATTTCTGCTGCGATTTTAGGTGCGATTTTCTTCGTTTGATGCATGTGAACAAGTGTATGAGTGATGAACAAGGGTGGGTAGTAGCGAAGTAGTTGTAGTTCGCTACTGTAGCGAACTACAATTTTCAAGTAGCCATGCAGTAGTTTTTGACTACTTTATTAAAACAGTAGCTGTAGTTATAGCGAACTATATTTTGCCTAAAAGTAGCCAAGTAGTTGACTACTTTTCAAACAGCAAATCGCTATTCGCTACTTTTTAAAATTGTTAGCAACTTGATACAATAGCATGATATTGAGACACGGTTTGCTTAAAATAAATACTCAATAGTTAATTTGCGCTCTTGAACACTGTAGTGCTTACAAAAATGTTGCTTTGTGTTTACTGTTGCTACTCGTAAGTCGATAGGTTACATTTCAGCCTGAGTTAGTAGATGCTCCAAATACAGTAAAACTAAAAAATATAGCGTAGCGAAATAGCGACATAGTTCGCTACATTTTTTAAGCAGTAGCTGTAGTCAGTAGGGAACTACCTTTGTTCAAAAGTAGCAGTAGTTGTAACTGACTACATATTTTTGAAGTAGCTGTAGTTGTAGCGAACTACAAACAATTTGTAGTCAACCCACCCCTTGGTGATGAATGTTCAGATGAGGGTACATCAGAGAGATATATACTTAGAACATTCATAACTTGTTTACTCGTTCACATGCATCAGAAGAAACGGGCCTTCAAACAGTTCTATATAATATGTGCGGTGAGGCTTGAATTTCACGGATGGATTCACTAAATTGGGTGGGGGTGAAGGGAGTGCCAATTTCATGATCAAATTCATTTGGTAGGGGTAATTGATAATTGTGGCCTTTTACCACAATTATAACATAGTAATTGCTATAATTATGTAATTGTTATAATTATGTTTATTATATACATAGTAATGGCCAACTTGCATGTTAGACGAAATTTTAATCTAAGCAGAGAAAAGGGAATCAAACACCACAGCTAAAAAGAACATATTGAAATTAGTAAAAGTGCAAAATTTGGTTGCGAAATGTTGTAAAGCTTGGAAAATATAGCCTTGCAAAGTTTGCATATTTTCAGTATATTTGTATTACGAGCGGAAATTGTTACCATTTTCGGCTCAAAAATGGTAACAATTTCCGCACGTAATACAAATATACTGAAAATATGCAAATTTAGCAAAGCTATATTTTCAAAGCTTTACAACATTTCGCAACCAAATTTTGCAAGTTTACTAATTTTAATAAGTTCTTAACGGGAATTTACTTTTTTTTTGCCTAGATCGGTTAGTTAAAAAATTTGTCTAACATGCAAGTTGTCTATTGTTATAATTATAATTGTTATAGTTATTATAATTGATAATTGTATTGTAGCATTTTTAATTTTGGTAATTGTGGGGGTGCAGGGAGTGCCAATTTCATAATCAAATCCATTTTTTTCAATTTGGAAATGCAATATCCTGCCATCAATACCACAATAATGTGGGGCAATGTTTCGCACTTTCTACAGACCACTTGATTCCAAATGATTATGAACTTGGTAACAGTGGCACCCCAAACCATGACCATGGGTCGATGAGCTCCTCCCCCCCATTTTTTCATAGAAACTATATTGTGTTAAAAAGTTTGTTCTTATAAATAAATTTTAAAAAATCGATAAACAGAAATGTTTTTTGTCTGAATTCAGTAATTGTTTTTTTTTCTTGGCGGAGATATTGTCGTCGGGAATTTTGTCCTCGGGGATTTGTCGTCATGTGGGGGTTTTGTCATTGGTTCCATCCTACCCACCCACGCGGTCCTTTCAAGGCTTTACAAAAACAACAGTGGGTGAAGTGGCGCAACACGTAACTGCAACAAAAACGAGACGAATTCAGCGGTAAAGACAGCAAAGTCAAACGATTACTGTAAGGTAAGTTTCTAGCTTAATAAAACGTCTTCCACTGAGCTTATTCAGTAATTGGCTGTCTGGTTTAGCTTGCGTAGTCTCATACACATCATATTAAAACTGATCGATATGCCGACTAAGAAGGTTTAGACTGAAGAGTAAATCCAGTCGCAAACACAAATAACGCTTGTTCATTAAATTAACAGCATTTTACTCTTTATAAAATAAATTTAGGTAGTTTAGTTTAGCCATGGTTTTCAAGTTAATACTTTAAGTTTTTGTACGTGCATGCAATTATATTAACAATAATTTATAGCAATGGTTATAGCTAAACAACTCTATCGAATGAATGTTTGTAACACATAATTTGTTATAATTATACACTGCGGTCATGATGGTGATTATGAACGAACTGATCAGCATAAAATCCGGCAAATGAAGGCGAAACTTTCAGTTTAAACTTTGTATTGCAAAATAAAGTGGATTGCTCGGAAAAATTAAGCCAATATTTGCTTTAAGTAGACCATAGACAACAGATGGTGTAAATATCTTAAATTCTTAAACTGCAAAATTTACCATTCTTATTTTCAATTAATATTGTCAAGTTTGAAGTCTAGTTTAATCTTTGAATAATTCTATATATATAGTTGAGAATTACTACTAATTATAATGCAAATCTAGCGATACACTCATGCGCATATCAAACTTATTACAAAACTATGGTTAAAATACCAAAGGTATTTCCGACTCAAGACAGTGACACGTTTCGAAGATCAAAAATTCTTTGTGTGTCTGAAGACTGCAGCCACCCCTGACAGGAGTGCTCGCCATTGCGGTTGACCTCGAAGTTGCCTCATACATGACGTCTAATGTCGACAGCTAGCCTGTGTAGCAGGCGTTTATAGTGGACAGCTTGAAACAGCTACTCGGAAGAAAGAATGAACTCCCATTTAAATTAATTATCAACAAATTGGGTAAAAATGCGCACAGATCACCCTGTCAAACATAACTGATGCGATTAATTGCAGAACCCACAATATATTAGGCTTTACTGAATACTCATGTAAATGTAAGTGGTGGTTTGTTTCGTGAATAACTCAAAGCCAAATGATAATACCGCTCAGATATGATTAGAATGCCGTTTCCCGCTTCAAGCGTATCGTAACGTACCGCCGCATTTTTGGGTTGGTTCACACTAATGATTTTGTCGACGATTTTATCTTTCTAGGAGCGGATTAACGTTCCGCGGGGCCCGTGGCATAATATCAGCGCGGGGCCCCTTTACCCCCTCCCCCCCCCCACAAACCGCCCAACGTCATTTTAGACATTGAATTCAGTACGATTAAAAAAATATCCTTTTCATGCGTTGAAAAGTTTCCTGAGTATTTAAAAAAAGAAACTGAAATTCAACTCAGTTTATACAATTAACATTGAAAACCACATATAAATCATAAGTATATTCTCTAGTTGTAATCACTCCGCGTATTTTCAGTTCTAAAATGTTGTATTTCCGCTGATGAGAAAGATCGTGACTCAATCTTTACGACCGTTAAGGCCCTGTTACACGGTGAAATTTTTCATGCAACTTGTCTCGCAATGTTTAAAAAAAGATTTTGAGAATGCATTGCAACAGGTGTTACACGCTGCGATGATTTTCATGCAACTCGCAACGATACAGCCATGCGAAGAGACTAGGGAGAGGCGCTATTTGGCGCCAAATTATAATTAAAATAAAGCGTGTACTGGGGAGAGCCAATAGGAACTCTCCAAGCTATAAACATTGCGAGACAAGTTGCACGAAGCCATGCTACACGCTGCAATGCCAAAAATAATTAGTGCAATCGTTGCCAAAAGTAGAACCGACTTCTACTCTGTGCAATGCTTCATGCAACTTGTCTCGCAAAGATTTTGACCATTGCAAAACTTTAAACCGTGCAATGACTCGAGCAACTTGTCTCGCAACGCCATTGCGAGACAAGTTGCATGAAAAATTGCACCGTGTAACAGGGCCTTTACGACCATATGGAAATCAGACATGTTTTGATCCTAAGGGGTCGTCACTGCAGCAAGCGCCTTTTACCTCTAAGATCATGGGTCCAATTCTCGCTTCAGACGTTGGGTCTTTTGCAGGTTCAAAATCATGGCTGGTGGTACTAACAATGGCGTGCAGTATCTGGGGTCTGTTCCCGGCGTTTTGAAAATTCTGGAAATTGTAAGCACTGTCTAATGTTTAATATAGCCTAATTATTGCGCAAATCACTGTGACAGGAGAAAATCGTCCTTGCATCAACACCCAACCTGCGAACGGGCATAGATAGGAGATTGAGCTGAATGCTGAATTTTAGGCGCCTTTGGCTGCCATTAAGGTGAAAGGGTTATTTTTGAGTGAGAAAGAAAAGCCGTTAAACTCTTCAGGGGTGACCCCCCCCCCCTCCTCAAAAATTCCATGTAAATTCAATAAATCAAAAGCATGTTTTATGTTCAATTCTTCCGTCTAGATACTTCAAATAGTCTGCGTTGGCTTCGTGGGATATTTCTGGGACAACTGGGTTTGGAAAGACTATGATGATGTTCCCAAAAACGACTACATCAAAATCTTCCTTTGGTCAACAGCAGCATCTGGAATAATAACACTGCTGTTCTTTCTCATATTTCTCATTGGTTCACTTATGAAAAAGATAGTATGTTCATAGTTATTATTCTCTCGATAACATTTCATATACGGTGTATATATCGCGCTTATTTAGCCGCCAGTTTATATATTCAAAATTGTTATTGCATCTTAGGCTGCTGCTATTTTTATTCTTTTGGCTATCTTACTGTTTGCTGTCTCAGGACTGTTGGTTGACACTCTAGTGTATTACAAAGACAAGGACGTTTGCAAAGCATTGGAATTTTTCGATGCAGACAGTCAGTGTAAACAGCTGACAGCAGGAATTGTAAGTTTCCTTCTTAATTTTTTTTATATTTCTCTACTGAATTCTCTTGTTCTTGTTGTGCCAACATTTGCATGTTTAAAGTGCAGTCTATATCGTCATTGACATACAGTAGTTAATAGAATAGATGGTTTGGAAATTCACTAGAATAACAATATAACTCATTATCTATGTTAGTCAACGTTTATTCATAAATCTGGTCCTTCACAGTCACGTGCGTATTGCATTTTTGCCCAACTAACCAACAGCAATGTTTTAGGAAAGTCACCTATCCGTGACTCGAACAATAGGGAAATTGGAAATTGCTATTGGTGGATTTGGCAAAAATACAATACACACGTGACGGTGAACGACCATATTTATGAATAAACGTTGACTAACATAGGCAATGAGTTATATTGTTATTCTGATGAGTTTCCAAACCATCTATTCTATTAAAGGTGATCTACAGTCCGATCTGCGCATGTGCACAAATGAGCCCACTTTTTATGATGCAAACAGTTTAACTATGTTTTGAGTTCTTGAAAAGCCTCATTGTTGTTTCTTGATCATTTATTATACTCCAGAAGCTTGAAAATATAAATAGTTGTCGAATAAAGCTCAATATTTTGGACACAAAAAATGTAAACAAAGGCTTTGTTTACATACGGACTGTAGATCACCTTTAAAGGGCATATGACCCGAAAATTGACGGTGTTATTTTTTAGTCTAATTTGAAAGATCATTGAAAACTGTAGAGTAACTTGTTTGAAAGATTTTTGTTTTCTTGGTTCGTTTTGGAGATATTTCATTTTGTATGATATCGTGCGCTTTACAAAGATTTTTAATTTCTTAATAAGTCAATATTTAATATATGCATCTTGTCAATATTTTACGCATCTTTGCGTTAAGCTTAGTGTTAGGGCATTCAAATTCTAACAATAAAACGTTATTTCAATGGTTTTTCGGGGTTTTTGGGACACCCTGTAGAATATTTATCTAGGCATGCGGGTGATCTAAAGTTGTCAATTGGGCATAAACAAACTTTAGCCAAATTTGTCTGTTTATAAATTACCATGAATTCTATTTCAAAATGCATGCCATTATTGTTCTCTAAATATCTTTTTCAAATAGGTGTGTGGCTTCTTCGCGGGAGTAATTCTTCTTGTGGATGGCATTGTTCATTGCAAATTGTGATAGTATCGTATATATTAAAATATAAACCTATGGCTATGTCTATATTATGTGTAATAATCACTGATAGAAATAATAAACAAATTGTAGTCCTTTTCACCCTTTGAAGTCTGCTGTTGTTTGGCTGTTTAAAATATATTATAGCCTGCATGGTCAACCCAATGGAATCCATTGAAATCATGCACTGTAATGCACAATGTGTATAGAGATCAACGATCATCGGAGAATGGTAGCCAGTGGCGCCTCTGGGATTTTTTTGGAGGGGGGACGTAATAATTTGTGAAGGCACAATTCGTGGGGGGGGGGGGGTCGTGGATTTTGTCATGTGGGGGTTTTGTCATGGATTCCACCCTACCCACCCACGCGGTCCTTTCAAGGCTTTAAAAAAACAACAGTAGGTAAAGCAGCAACAGGTAACTGCATCAAAAACGAGACGAATTAAGCGGTAAAGACAGCAAAATCAAACGATTACTGTAAGGTAAGTTTCTAGCTTAATAAAACGTCTTCCACAGAGCCATTCAGTAATTGCCAGTCTGTATAGCTTGCGTATATACAGATATATTAAAATCGATATGCCGACTAAGGTTTAAAAAGAGTATAAATCCAGTCACAAACACAAATAACGCTTGTTCATTAAATTAACATCATTTTGCTCTTTATTTCATTAGCCATGATTTTCAAGCTAATACTTTAAGTTTTTGTAGCTACGTGCATGCAATACTAACAATAATTTATAGCTAAACAACTCTATCGATCGAATGGAATGTTTGTAACACTTAATTTGTTATTATTTTAAACTGCGGTCATGATGGTGATTATGAACGAACTGATTAGCATAAAATCCGGCAAATGAAGGCGAAACTTTTTTAAACTTTGTATTGCAAAATAGAACGATATAGGGAGAATTGCTCGGAAATATTAAGCCAATATTTGCTTTAAGTAGACCGCAGACAACAGATGGTGTAAATATCTTAAATTCTTAAGTTAAACTGCAAAATTCACCATTCTTATTTTCAATTAATATTGTCAAGTTTGAAGTCTAGTTTAATCTTTGAATAATTCTATAGTTGAGAATAGTGCAAATCTAGCGATACACTAATGCGCATATCAAACGTATTACAAAACTATGTTTAAAATTTCGAAAGGTATTTCCGGCTCAAGACAGTCACATGTTCCAAAGATCAAAAATTCTTTATGTGTCGGAAGACTGCAGCCACCCCTGACAGGAGTGCTCGCCATTGCGGTTGACGTCAAAGTTGCCTCATACATGACGTCTAGTGGACAGCTAGTCTGTGTAGCAGGCTTTATAGTGGACAGCTTGAAACAGCTACTCGGAAGAAAGAATAATCTCCAGTTAAATTCCGGCATTATCAACAAATCTTTGCTATGCCTATGGGTAAAAATGCGCACAAATCACCCTGTCGAACACAATATGCGATTAATTGTAAAACCAGCAATATATTAGGCTTTACTGATTACTGTAATTTTGAATCAAAATGGTAGTCCGCTTGTTTTGTCGACGATTTTATCATTCTGACGGATGTGAATGAGCGAACTCCCACAGTAAAGTACACAATTATTTTCCGGAAGTATACATTTCTAAATCTTTTGCATGTCATTCGTTAAATCCCATCCCCCAGGAGGAGAATAACCGCCGACGGAATTGCTAGTGTGAACCTAGCCTGCATGGCAGGCGGTCCCTAAAATTGGGCAAGCCTGGGAAAGACCTGCCATGCAGGCTAGTGTGAACCAGGTGCCTTTCATACAACGTCCCCGGGATTAGGTTACAAAAAGAGCTAGGATTAGAGGAAGGGATTGGATTGCGAATCGAGGTTGTTTCGTATGATTATGTTTTTACGCCATATCGTTGCAGGTTCAAAATCATGGCTGGTATTAATGAAGGCGTGCAGTATCTAAAGTCTGTTCCCAGCGTTTTGAAAATTCTGGAAATTGTATGTATTCAGCGCTTGTGACGTCACAACATTTCATTTGGCGCAATCAAACTGACGTACTTTCCGCTTCATTTAACTGGCTTAATTAACATGACTAATTCAGAAAGGTCATTCTCTAGCGAATTGAGACTTGGTTTCATACCAATAATTATTGTAATATATACATAAACATAATTATTGTTCAAATATTTCACGTCTAGATACTTCTTCTAATCTGTGTTGGTTCCGTTGGATATTTCTGGGACAACTGTCCTTGGAAAGATTTGGATGATTATCCTAAAAATGACTACATTAAGTTCTTCCTTGCGGCTACAGTAGTAGCATGGATAATAGCACTGTTGTTCTTTCTTATATTTGTGGCTGGTGTACACAAGAAAATCGATGTTTTTAACTGGGCAATGACGGTAAGTTCTCTGTCACCATACACTAGCCTGCCAAGCCTGCCTTGCGCTCGTTGTGTGGGCCAAGCACAATAAACACTATGCTATATTTGTATTACCGTAAAATTTGTTTTTGCCTGCCATTTCTAAAATATGGCCTGCTTTTGGTCATTGGCAGCCCGCTATTTCGAGCCCTGCTTTTGGATCGTCTTATGGCCCCCCACCTTCGGAGGGCACCTACTTTTAGGATTCTAGGTCAAGTATACCATTGCTGCATTTCACACATTGCAGCCCTCTCCCATTTTTGCCCGGATTTTTGGAGATAATTGTGGGACTGCTCGCAGTCTATAGATATGGGTCCATGAATTAATATTTTCATAATATAAATAATTTATTAAACGGTTTCTTGTACCTTAGGCTGCATTAATTTTCATTCTATTGGCCATCTTGGTAATAGTGGCCTCAGGATTGTTAGCAGATACTGTCAAGTACTACAAAGACAACGGAGTTTGCAAAGCACTGGAATTTTTTGAGAAAGACAGTCGGTGTAAACAGCTAACAGCAGGAACTGTAAGTTTCTTTCTTAAATATTTTATATTTCTCTTGTTCTTGTTGCTCTCACATTTCGCATGTTAAAAATACAGTCTATATAGAGTAGTTGCCTACAAATATTACCATGGATTCTATTTCAATATGCAATTATTGTTCTCTAACTTTTCTTTTTCAAATAGGTGTGTGGTTTCTTTGCCGGAGTGATTCTTCTTGTGGATGGAATTGTTCATTTCAAATTGTGATAGTATAATTATATGTGTCAAAATATAAACATATACACATAATACGTGCAATAGTCATTATGGTAAAAATTTAAATATTAATTAACAAGTTGTGACGTCTTTGCGCAGAGATGCATCGAAACGAACAATCTCGTTTGTCGTGTTCAATTGTTAGCTGGGTAGATTAATTAAACATCAAGCTTGCGGCGGATGGCTGCAACAGATCGATTTTTTAGTTTTGTGTGAGGATATTGTGTTTTGTATAATAATTATCACTTGTTCACGGAGACCGAGAGAAACGGCGTGTTTTGCATTCTCTTACGCGCGCATTCTCGTACCCAGAGCCCTTCTTACGCGCGGTGCGACAAGGGGCTCTGGCCAAATCCATATTCCGAACTGGCATCTGATTGGCTAGTTCTAACACCCGATATCGTTTTCTTACCATGTTTTTATGGTATCCGGTTATGGATTTGGCCAGAGCCCCTCGTCGCACCGCGCGTAAGAAGGGCTCTGGGTACGAGAATGGTACGCGCGGTCAACGGAGCGCGACGAGGGGCTCTGGCCAAATCCATATCAAACTGGCAGATCTGATTGGCCACAATGAAGGTCATTGTTCTAATACCGGATATATTCTATTACCATGTTTTTATGGTATCCGGTTATGGATTTGGCCAGAGCCCCTTGTCGCAACGCGCATAAGAAGGGCTCTGGGTACGAGAATGCGTGTTTTGTGGCCCGAGACTTACCAGTCCCTTTCTATTGTTTTTGTCTGCGCGGTTAACACGAAGCTGGCGTCCCTTTTTGGACTCAATTTCTCGCTCCAGATTTATGACGAAGCTCAGTGGGTGGAACGCACATGCATACACAAACCTTTTAAATTAATATACCAGAACTGAACTCCTCTTGACCTTGTATTTGAAGGTATTCTTAAATCCAGATGAATGCATCTAAAATAGATAGTCGGAATCTGTAAAAAGAAACATTTTTACAATTTGTACTTTTACCATCAATCCCACAGATCATGGACTTTTCCCACTTCCACCACAATGTTTACCTTCAAAATCAAAGGCGACACTTCATCTAATCTTCAATCAAGTTTCCATTTAAGATTTCCAACTGTCAGAGACAAAGAAAGGAATCATTTAGACTAAATACCCAACACTGTGCGTTGTGATGGCTACATGTTTAATGAAGTTCATTTGTGTATATTTGAGATCTGCATTATACATGGCACGCAAAAAATACATTGACATTCTGGTCAAAAATGATTTGATCAGTTCCAATTTCTCATCCATGCGTGGATATGAATACTGTAGTTGAAATAATTGGCATTTTGTCCTAACATGATTAAGGACCATTATAAAATATTCATCGCCAGTAATCAGTCAATTGCCCATCCTGCAGGATAAGTCGTAGTAAAAAATAAAATGCGAAGGATTCCTGATGAATCTTCCAATATGAATCTATATACAATTTGTTATGATGCTTTCATCGACAAAATTACAATTACAAATAACATTAGGCAAACACTTTACGTTTTTACACGAAATATTAAACCAAATTTCTGGACAGCTGTATACGTCCCATTAAGAACAATAAGTTACACATTAAATCAAGCGAGTCTTGAATTTTTTAGCATTACCGCTTTCAATGCATTTCAATGCAGAAGATGAGCCGGTCATAATGCGGAGTTCTAGACCATTTGTGTATCTATAGTGATACAGTGCAATTGTGATCGTTGCAAGCTGAAATAGAAATAATAAAGCATTTCGTTTAATGGAAATTATAGTGTTCAGTAGAGGAAAAGGCATACAGGATGACAGACATATTTAGCACATATACACGTAGATGGATTGGAAGCAATCATTGGTCGGAATATGACTAACTGACGTACATTGGACAGACACTGAGATGAACAAACAAACAAACATTGGACAGACACTGAGACAAACAAACAAACAAACAAACAAACAAACAAACAAACAAACAAACAAACAAACAAACAAACAAACAAACAAACAAACAAACAAACAAACAAACAAACATTGCTCACATGACTGACAGGAAAATATATACTGTCAATTTGAATTAAGGTAAGAAATTTTTTGAGAGACACTGGACTGTGGTGGGTGATGTTTTGCTCGGTCAACACTTTAGAATGCTAGAAACCTCGTCATACTTTTACGTTACTTACGATCAGATCTACACACGGGTTATCTATTGCATTTTTAATGTCGTCTCTGGACACATCTTCTCCAATGGATCACCTGCAAGATTCATCAAGTGTCAGAAAATGTTTTACAAAGACAAGATCTTTGATCTAGATCTTGGGTCTAATTATCTATTGACCCTTAGTTTTACATCACCTTAGTTTTAGTTGATCTATAACGTGAAGCAAAAGGTTTCGAACTAACAACAGAATATAAATCCAGTTCTTGCTGTATCAAACCCCTTCATTCTTCAGTGTCTTATGAAACTTGTCAAAACTTTGTAAAGTAATGGCAACATAAGTAATATGAAAAAACCCATGACAAATTTGGGAACCAAGTACAGTAATATACACTAAACGGCATACTATAAGTAGTTTCATTCTGGAAATGGATTTCTATATCTGCTACCAGGTTTCTTCGTAGTCAGGGAATAAAAGTAGCCTGAAAAGCTGACCAGAATTTTCATAATGTCGAGTAACTTGGTCCACTATAGTTTCATACATGCTTTATATGACGTTTCAATCATTTTACTCCATTCGATGTGTGTTTCATAAAAAATACCCTGCTTCGCGTACTGATCCAATTTCTGCAACATTGCCTTCGCAAACTAGAATCAAATCGTCTACTGTTGGTGAATGCTACTCTGGCTCAAAATTAGCATTATTTAAACCAGTTATCATTCGAATTTTCAATGCATTATGGAAGCATACAACAATGATACGAGATAAAAACCGCTATAAGCTATAAACTCTTGTCAAACAGTGATATGTGCATGTAGATATGTATATACACACTCATTCCAAACACGAATTATAATTAAGCATAAATGTGATTGACAAGTATGAGAGTAACGAATAACCTATCCAGGACAAAAACTTGAGTATGAATCGTTCAGTATCCCCGCCACGAAACTAGTGATCTCTCCTAAACCAGTTCTCAATACATGCTTTAACGTATCGAGACACTTCACAAGCGTTTCGTGCAAAACTACAACTATATCAACAACTACGTAATGACTACAATGGGGCCCTTTAAGTTACTGTACCGTCATTTGCAACTAAGATGCACGACTTGCACAGTCGTGCATAAAAAACATTGTCTATTCTAATACAAAAAATTAGATTCTTCAATGCTTATATTACAAGTATTTAAAGGTTTCAATTACCTGAATTACCTATAATAACTCACAATCATCATGAGCCTAAAGTTAAACATGATTGGCCGATCAGATTGAAACCTCTCAAATGCTCTTGACATACATTGAAGTTAAGTGAGAATAGACAATGTTTTATCAGCGACAGATCACTCTTAGATGGAGTGAACTGCAGTGAATCGTATCTAATCGAATAAAATTGTCTCCCCTTGGAACGAAAAGATACCAAAATCGTTGATAACTCTCCACAAAACACAGCAGATAGCAAGAAATCCTAAAATCTACATACTCTAACTATGAATAAAAAAAGTTAACCTCTATACGTCTTACACGTTCATTTTAGCCACGTTCAACTCTGCATTCTTTCAGTAATAAATGGATGAGTCAAAGCTTGATTCACGGCCAAACGTTTGGAAGGATCCAATAGAAGAATCTTGTCCATTAGATCTTTAAATTGCAACACTTTTCGCTTCAAATCGTCTTCCACCTTGTGCGAGTCGACCAAGGATTCTGTGAGCTCTTTTGTCGCATTCATTGTTGACATCACTGTCACTTTCTCCTACGAAGGAAAAGAAAAACAAACGACAACATTTGCATGATGCGTAACAATTTTTACGATATGTTAAGTATCCACAACATGTGCAGTGTAGCTAGTGATAGTATTCTATTATACGTTTTTATATCGTATTTTGAGTATAGACCCTACGTTAAGAAGTTCGAGACATTTTAAAGATTGTTCAGAAACAAACCACGACAAGTTTGTATACACAAATCTAGTGTTTATAAGATTGGCATACAGGCTTTCAAAGAAAGGAAAATTTGACTAAAAAGAGGACCATGTACTTTAAAGCGTGTTTAATACCAAGTACTTTAAAGCCAGGTTTACACTAGGCAAAAAAAAAATATGTGGGTTTCCGGTTTCTTCTTATAAAAACTTAGGTAGGGTAGGTCGGTTTTAACTTTTTTTTTTAAATTTTCCGAACAAGCGGACGCCATTTTGTTTAGTCAGTGCTTCCACATCCAAAGATAAATTTCCCTAATATTGCCCCAAATTTCAATTTTCCACAAACTTTTTCCTCTAAGTGGAAACACTTACAAGCATGATCCAATAAAAAAGTTTAGGGTCGGGATTTCGACGTCCAAAAGCTAGGTAGGGTCGGGAAACCGGAAACCCACATATTGTTTTTTTGGCCCTATCAAAGTTTCTGTGATCACAGCAGGAATTTTGCATAGGTACTGTAAGCGAACTGACTCAGTGTGAACTGACTCGCTATGTCAGTTCCCTCAACCATTTCTTACCAATCTTTCAAGACTTAGAATCTACAGTATAGTAATAGATAGGATACACCAACCCTAACAGAACAGGAGAATCATTTTCAACCTACCCTCTGAGTAACCTTATCGACTTCAACATAAAGGAAATTAAAATTTTCATCAAAGTGTTGGCTCTTGAACATTCCTTTCCGTATCATCTTGTTTGGCATCTTGCCTTTGGCTTCCATCATCAGTTTCAACATTTCATTATTTGTCTTCCCTGGGAATGTGATCTTTCCAGTGTACAGTTCAAAGATTGTGCAGCCTACAGACCACAGATCTAAGGCGTAGTCGTACGTGTTGCCAATAACTAAAGGAAAACAAGATTAAGAAACATTAACTCTGACGAACTAAAGTCTGAAAGAACTTTATTCATACTGGATAGCTATTTCACACTCGATTCATGAACATGAATAATAGAACACTTACTGATCTCTGGAGCTCTGTAAAATCGACTGACCAAGTATGGAGTTATTTCATTATCAGACACATGAGATGCTGAACCAAAATCACACAACTTGATAACAAGTTTGTTGGAGCTTACCTTGAAAACACAGATAGTGACTGTTAGTGTTGCGCCTACAATGTTCGATTTTGTTTGTTTGATTCGAACAAGCCTTTAACGTTAGGGGGTAACAATCATCGTGCATGCAGGTGAAGGCCGAATAGCCGTATTCCAATGGACGTCACAAGTGTAGGCTTAACATTAGAATATAGTTCATTTGCATTCAAAAGTCAATTTCAGTTTGTTTGTCCGAAGTTTGTGCTGTAAATAACAACCTTAACCCAACCTAAGCTATTGCAATGGACATATAGCTCAAGTTTGGTACATTGTCCTTACCAAAACATTATCAGGTTTAATATCAGCATGAAGTATGCCTGATTTCTTCATTAATTTTAAAGCCAGGAATAGTTGTTGTGAATAAGAGCGAACAGCTTTGATATGAAGTCCGACATTTTGTCCGTATTTCTTTAATACTTCACGTAAGTTGAGACTGAAATAAAAATATTAGTAAAATGTAAACACCTTGACTTTCGAATATTATATATAATCATAGAATTTATATAATACACTCAAATGAAATAAGCACAAACGGGACGCGAAGTCCTATTAGTAGCGAGGTTCAGACTTGACTTTCACCACCGATACCGTTAACCAATCAGATGTGTTTAATCTACACAATTAACCAATCAGATGTGTTTAATCTACACAATTAACCAATCAGATGTGTTTAATCTACACAATTAACCAATCAGATGTGTTTAATCTACACAATTAACCAATCAGATGCGTTTAATCTACACAATTAACCAATCAGATGTGTACTAAGAGAGTGAGAGGTAGCGGTAATGGAAGGCAAATCTGAGGCTCTAGTATAGTAGTGTGGCCTCTCCTTTTTTTGGAAGGGACATCGCTCGAAATGTCGAGTGAAGAATTTTCGTAAAATAAATAAGAGAACAATACATGGGTGCGCGTGAATACCAGATTTATTTTGAGTGTTGAACATGATATTTCACGATTGAGCGCAGCGAACGAGTGAGATATCATGTTCAACACGAGAAATAAATCTGGTATTTCCAAGCACCCATGTATTTTTCTGTTTATTATATAAACAAAATTCAGTGAAAAACAATAAAACGTCCGTGGCAATGCGTTTTACAACAAATGATATTTTCACACGTAAAAAATCGTATTTTTTACGTGTGTTTAAATACGATTTTTCTCAGTGGCCAAAAACTCTATATAACACTTATGTTTATATAATAAAAATAGTTCGCCTATACTAACAAATCATCCGTTTGTGCGAAAATACGGCAATAGACTATCAGGAAAATATAACGCATGATTTGTTTCCAAAAACAGCAATGACAATCATTTTTCAACCATAAAAGCATCGTAGACTACAGGTTAAGCTATATATTGCATGAAATTCAAGGCAAAGAATTTAAACAACTAAGATTTCCAACAACAAAAAGCGGTCACATGGTGACAATCTAATTCGCCCCTCCCCCAATATTTCGCGAAGTGTCCGCCACTGATCTGAAATTGACCATCATCTGCTGCCCAGTAACGCTCAAAGAAATTCAACAAATTTGTGGACGTAACAACGTACCTCATCGGTTCAAACACGAGACAAAGATGTTTCTTATGAAAGAAATGTCGAAACAACCGAATACAGTGATATTTATCATCAGGATCAGCATCGTTGAGTTTCTTTAAAATCTCTAACTCTTTAAGACCACTCTTGTGCCTGACAACAAACATAAAATACAACAAAAATTATCAATAAACTAACTACATCCTTACATAATACATACATAAGGGTCATCTCTTATCGGTACACTGTTACCACAGGGTGAATATAAACTAAACTAAGTTTACTTGTATAGTTTAACAACTCGACAGACAGCTCGACGTTCTAAACCGTTCTCTCTGGAAATATAGTAAGGGGCAGTCCTTATACTGGATAACCCGATCAGTTGTAAACTGTTCTTCCTAGAGGTTCAGTAAGGAGCCTCCCTTTATGGTACAGTGTTACTACAGGAGGAAACTGGAACACCTGAAGAAAACCTGCAGTTTTTCATTGAATCAAACTAGAAGCACTCTTCTAAAAAGCAACCGAGGCGAAATTAAATAGGGTATGAAAAAAGACTTCACTCACGCTAACTAACTCTCTTCCATTAGAACTAGTTAATTATACTTCCTTGATTTCATTTAAAAGAAAACTGAAAGGTTTTTTCTTCTCTAAATATTGAAAATCATCACCCTCTCTTAACTGTAAATACTGTTGAGTGTTATATAATGAGTTATTGATATGATGATCATGTACTCTTGTCTGCCAAAATTAATATTATGTAAATAGAAGAAAACTTAATTCATTACCCCAAATGCATGCGTGTCCAAAGGGAGACTAAATTTAAATAAGCCTGCTGGTTTCATTTTAGGCTTCCTTGTTGCTAATATATTAATCGTGATTTCAATGTTTATATATTTATTATTATTGTGTAGTTAAATTAATGTATTTAGCAACAAATCAAATTCATTAAACATTAAACATAGTTTAACTAAACTTGCAACTACATTTTCATTACTTACATCATTTCATTATTTCTAATAATCTTAATTGCAACATCTTGTTTTCCACGTGCCTGATCACGCCCTCTCACGACATTACTAAAGACACCTTGACCAGTATAACCATAGATATCATATCTCTTGTCCAGCAGCTCACCAATACGGACACCTACAAGAACCAGACAGGAGGATGCCAGTTTATTAGGTTTAAAAAATGTAAAGTGTGAATTGAACAAGTCACATATTAGTAGCACTGATGAAGATCCGGGCTTACGGATCGAAAGCTTTGCAGTAATAAATTTACGTAGTGTTTCCACAAACAAGAAGTATTATATTTTTATATTTAACCTAACTCTTATTTCGCCACATGTGTTGCAATTCTTTTATTCCGACTTGACATGCAGCCCAACAAGTCCAAACTGGATGTTTTCCTGATGAACTGAACTGAGAAACGTTAGTACTTACGATAATATCCTTCTGCATCATCCCAATTGTCCATTAGGCTTGGATCTTCATTTTCTTTCATCGTTAATTTTGAAACCTCGGGAGCCTGCACGAGAAGAAAAGGTAGTGCTATCTTTAGCAGCTGTAAGTAACTCAGGGTGGTAGCCAGAAGATTAACAAATTCGGCAAAAATATTTTAGGTTTTGAACACTTTTCATCGCAAATACGCGACAATGAAGAAAACTGCCTCTCAAGACTTCACTAGTTACAAAAGGCCTCATTCAAATCACAGCTAGTCAAGTGGTGATTGCAAGGCTCAAAATAACGGTCGGTCAACGGACAAAGACCAGCAAAAATGCCTCTTGATCAGGGCACGAAATAACGGCTGGAGGGTCGACGCGGTCAAGGTGACCGGCCAACTCAATTTTAGCTCGGACATACCAAATTTCTGGCCGGTCAAATTATTCAGCTTAAAGCAAAGCCTAGTAAAGTATACCCCTAAAAATGTGACTTATGAGACTCTGTGAGTTAAAAATGTGAGTTATGTAACTATTTTGCGCCGTGCTTGACCGGTCACTTTTTTACCTCACCGGTCATTTGGACCGGCCACATTTCCATGCCTTCCAATGTGATTGCTGACGTGACAGACGTCTTGAATTAAAACATGAAAATATGATGTATCGAAACAAGTTTCTAATAGTTTGTTTCACTGTTAGTGTAAGCGTATCAATTACCGGTCAAAAACAGATTTTGACCGAGCTAAAAGTTGACCGGTCATTTTGACCGGAGACCTATCTCCCGTTATTTTGAGCCTGGACTGGCCAGTTGACTGCATGTCTGTTATCAAACGACTGAATGACAGATTTCAAATACTTTTAAATTAACCATAGTAAACACGGGAGGGGCAATATTTATCAATGGTCAAATGATAATTACTTTATAATCATCAGCAAACATATCTGACTGTTCTACTTTTTCCTCAACTTGTGGGGCTTGTTCAATCTTCGGGGCGTGTTTCGCTGGCACATCTTTCCTAACGATGACTTCTGCATCTCTTGCACTGAGCTCACTCCCTGTGGGTGAACTGACTGCAGAAATAGCTGGAGAATCAGAATTATCGCGTTGTTGGTACTTCTGTAGAATAGCGAGACGTTGTTGACGTCGTTTTTCAATGATCTCGTCCTCGTTCTCATCTTCTTCTTTCAACTCAAAATTGTACATATCATGGCTGAAGAATATAATAAAAATATGAAATTAGATAGTTACCTAAAACTAAGCTAACTTTAACTGGATAACTTTATCAGTTTTTAATTAAACTGTTCCCTCGAGAGGTCTGAACTAAAGGAACTTCAATAATATAGAGGTCAGCTGTCTCAGTTCTTTTAACTAAAAGTGCTATACATATCAGGGTGCGATAATTCGAGATTTTTAGTCGTACCTGACTGGTACTTCAATGATTATTGCCGCGTACTTGAGCTGGTACACATTTAGGACTCAAGGTGTATTTAGTCTGTAAAATGTACATAAAGTACAGGTTTCTAAAAGGTATTCATTCAGTAAGCTGAAACCACGAGTTAGAACAAGGACGACAACTGGATACACAAACACTAGAATCCACTCAT